ATCCGCTGCTCCCAAAGGTACAGGGCACCCAGCTCACCTGTTCCCCTCCGCTCACCGCCCTGCTTCACGCTCACCTGGTTACATAGCAAACGAAGTCCGAGCACGTACTCGAGAGCCTAGGCACTCTCCCGTCTCATGCAGCAGTGGTTCTCAGCCTGTGCTCTGCGGCGCCCTGGGGGCCTGCACACTGTCTACGGGGGCCGCGAAAGACAGACTGAAAACTGACTGAACAGAATTCAATTATATACCGACAATCGGTTTCCAGAGGGGTCTGCAAATGAGAAAAGGTTGAGAACCACAGTCATACAGTACTGCTCGGCCGCTCTTCCCAGCCAGGCTGGCTGTGTCCCTCAGCCAGGAGACAACGGCCTGTCAGTGAAGGATCCAGGGGCCTCTTGGTACCCTGAGTACATCAGACCAACCCGTTGGCCCCTGCTGACTGTCCGTTTTTTGAGTGGAATGCCCGGTCGGAAAGGGACCTGGTGGCTCCGGTCGGCACCGCTGACCAGGCCGTTAAAAGTCCAGTCGGTGGTGAAGTGGGGGCCCAGGGCTAAGGCAGGCTCCCTGCCTGCCCTAGCTCTGCACGGCTCCCAGAAGCGGCCACAAGGTCCCTGTGGCCCCATGGCGCATGGGTGGCCAGAGAGGCTCAGCGCGCTGCCCCCATCCCAGTGCCGGCTCCGCAGCTCCCATTGGCCAGGAACAGCTACCAATGGGAGCTCCAGTATTCTCTGTGGGTCCATCTCACAGAGCTTATGGCAACCCAGGGGGCTACTGGCCCTCGGCTGAGACCTCACAAGCCACCCTTTGGTGAACCCTTACGCAGGTATCTGCCCTGGGGATCCCTGTGCCCGCTGCCCGTTGGCTCCCAGGGGTCCCGGCGTCACAATGGTGGTGCTGCGGGAGGGCGGAGTAGGGCTCCCCAGCGTGGCTGCTAGCACCAGACAGCTGGGGCGGAGGTAGCGCCAGGGTAACAAGGCTGGGGCCCAACGGGAGCAGGGCCTCTGTGTCACCCACCCCCTGCCAATATAATGTGGGCTGGGGTCTGACGGGGGTGAGGTGTGCCATGCTGCTGTGAATGCCCCTGCGCTGCCCTGTGCCTGGCCCCAGCTCCCGCCCCCTGCCCTGCCACTCGCTCCCCGGCTGTGCCCTGGCATTCGGCTGCGACTGACGGTCTCCCCTCCTCTCTTGCAGCCTCCTTTGCCTACACGCCAGCAGGTAAGGCCCTTCCCTCGCCCCAGCCACGGGGCTCCCCGAGAACGTGTCGGGGCCCCTTGCTACAAAGATTATCTACAGAGTCCCGTTTCCCTGAACACAGCAGGAGACAGCATCTGTGCTTGCTGCGCCGCGCCTGCCGTCGCCTGCCCCCTGCACCCAAAGAGCTTTCTTCTGCTCGGCTTTCTCGCTGCTGCGTCTCTGCCATGTCTCTCACCCCCTTCACCCAGCGGTGCCCGGCCGAGCCCTGTCCACACAGGTCAGAGCCCGGCCCGGCCTTGGAGGTGTCTTGTTCCTGGCCTGTGACACGTGCCTGTGTTTGCGAGGGGGCGGGGTTCGGGCTGCTGAACTGTGGGAGCTGCCTGCTTACCACAGCCTTAGTCACCGTGCTCTGCAATGACAGCTGGGCCTGACCCCCAGCCCCCAGCAGCCGGGTCCCACCCGACCCCCGGCAGCCAGATCCCACCCGACCCCCGGCAGCCAGATCCCACCCGACCCCCAGCAGCCGGATCCCACCCAATCCCCAGCAGCCGAGTCTCACTGCAGCGTCTCTGTCTCTTTCAGTCTCGTTCCCGCACGCAGAGGGGCCGGCCCGCGGCAACAGCAGGTGAGTGCAGAGACCCCCCCCCGACCCCACGGTCCGCAACTGCCGGGGGCTGCTGGGGAAGCCCTCCAGCAGTGCTACCCAGCATGCAGTGCACCTAGCCCCAGCCCTACCCTCTCTCCCTGCAGACCGGGCATGCTGGCCATGGCCACCAGCGCCTCCAACTACCCCTGGCTGGCGGACTCGTGGCCCGCCCCCAACCTGCTGCGCAATGGGAATGCCAAGGAGCCTGGCACGAGCTGCTGCACGGGGATCCACGACGCCACGGAGAGATATTACAATGGTACTGGTGGGGCATGGGGAGCTGCGGGTGGCCAGGCCGTGGCGGGGGCTGGGCTTAGAGCAGCCAGGAAAGGGGCCAGGACGAATGGGCCCATATCTGGGGCATCTCCGGCCCCAAGGCTGGGCGGGTGAAGGAGCCGAGCTGAGTCCCTCTCTGGGGGCCCAAGCCGGCTTCGCTGTCGCTGGCTCTGGGGAGCAGCTGGGCCGAGCTCCAGGAGAGGGGCAGGAGCCAACGCCGGCCACTCTGGGCCAGCAATAGCTCGGAGCCCACGTGGCGGGCGGGGCCGGAGCCCAATGGCCCCAAACGCGGCTGAGCTGTCCCCATAGCGAGGTGTCCTGTGTCTGTAACTTGCCCCGCAGAGGCCGGGATTTCCAACTACCTCGCCCAGACGGAGAAGTTTGGGGCGGGTGCGTCGGACGGGCCCATTTACAGCACCATTGACCCTGCCAGCGATGAGATGAGGACCTTCAACAGGGCCTTCTCGCAGCACACCACGCCTTACGCCAGCACGCCCCTGGTGCCGTATGGGGTGCCCAGCCTGCCCTCCCCTGACGCGGAGGAGAGCCCGCGGAGCCCCCAGCCTGGCCCCTCCGGCAGCCAATACGCGCTGCCGGAGCGTAGCAGGGCTGAGCAGGGTAGGGACGCCGTGTGGGAACCGCTGGGTGTGGCATCTGGGCGGGCTGTGGGCCCGGGGGACGTGGGGTGGGGGGCCCAGTTTGCTGGTGCCAGGCACAGAGTTGGCTCTTCCGGCAAATGGGCCCAGTCGCCCTCTGGGCATGGGAGCCACGTTCCGCTGCCAGTGCCAGGAGCACCCCAAAGACACCGCAGAGTGCTGGGAAGGGGATCGGCTGGACCCTGGGCCCAGCCCATGCCCTCAGCAGCCTCTGTGGAGCCCCCTCCCTGCAGGTGAGCCCCTGCAACGCAGGCACAGGGCTCCGAGGGCAGGCAAGAGGCCGGGGGCTCGCTGCGGGGCTGCCCCACTCTCTGGGTCAGCAACGCCTGTCTGGCTCCGGTCTCTCTAGTGGCGAAAATCGGCAAAGCAAAGTCGATGGGGAAGCCGGTGAAAACGCCCTCTCTGAACTGGACGGAGCTGCTGCCCCCTCCGCCTTCGGCCAGCGAGCTGAGCCAGTACGCGGAGGAGGAGGAGGAGGAGGAAGAGGAGGAGGAGGAAGAGCTGGCTGCCAGGTGAGCACAGTTACCGCTCTCTCTGTCCTAGCAGCGACGGTGCCAGCAATGCCATGGCCAGGATCTCGATGCCCGTGGCAACACAGAGTCTGCACCAGTGGCTGCCAGGGCCAGGCACTGCAGGGAGACTGCCCCAGCGGCACTGCAGGGAGCTGGGAGGGTCCAGGCAGACCTGTGGCATTGCCAGCCTGCCCTGGACTCGCCCAGGCCCGCCTGGGTCAGGTCAGAGGCTCGGTCAGGAGAGTCTATGGCAGAGGCTGATTACAGCCGTAGCCATGGGGCGCCTCCCGCTTCGGCCTGGCTTTGCCCCGGCCCAGGGTGGCAACGTGTACTACTGCTGGGGGGCTCAGGGCGCCCTCCCACCAGCCCTATCAGAGCCTCAGCCATGGGCTCCGTGCGGCACAGTGGGTGTGACCCCTGCCACGGCCTCT